CTCAGCTGCTCTCAATATTCCAGAGTGAATGGCCAACTAATTATTTACCTTATTTATGGGAGGCAGCAAAGTTCTTTAGTTAATACGAAAAGCAGATGGCGAAAATGTGCCGTTAATTCTGAATTAAATTGTTGCCATTTCGGATTGTTTACGCCAAGCAATGGAACTGGCCGAATTCTGTTAAGCTGAGTGCCTCGGGCAGAGGAAATCAAATCAAAATTTTAGTGGCGCTGGAATTTCTTTTCGCTTTATTTACCTGGCAATGAAGTCACCTGGACGAGGCACTCGTATTCGAGTGGGATGTGGATATTGGGATGCAAATCGAGGCACTACACGAACGCTGGCGTAAACACATAATCTGATTCCAGAAACGAAGTGCACCCACTGTGGTGGTATAAGAGCCCCCACTTCACACTGTGCCAAACTGTGAATTGAATTTATTTGCATGGGGGCAGGACTGGGTAGAGGCGAAAGGGTTCTCTTTAACCCAGAAGTGTCAACAGATCCTTTCGCCGATAAAAGGGCTCACAGGGGACGCAAACGCCTGCTCCTGCACGAGAAAATTAATAAAAAGCGAAAGTAAACACAGAACGAGGCACCCAAATGCTTTGAGCAACCTCTGAACTCCGAATCTCACTTCGTTTGGAATTCGTGTGACAGAAAAACCTTAAATTAAAAACCCACCAGGTAAATATTTGCGGAGCTGCGAAGACCTTCGATATATGGAAAGGGCAAATTTAATTTAAGCAACGATAAAGAAGAAAACAGAAAACCTCTTCGAATCATCATCGGAATCTTTATATATTCCACTTGGAAGACATCAATACTAAATATTTTCGCAAATTTTATATGATTTTTCTTTCTCGATAATATAAAATACTTCTGGGAGCCATTATTAAATTCTCAATTTCCAACCTGCGATATCAACATTTGTCAGAGCGAGTTTTATGGCCCAGCCCGAAATGTTTTTATTACTCAAACACGAATACAGACGACAATCAGTTTTTCCATTCAAAAATCTTTTGACTTTCTGACATCGAGGGGAACCCAGCATTAAATACGGTATTTGACTTGTCTCCTGTTTTTCTTTGCAGGCACCGCAGGAGACTGGCGAAATGCATTAGGCGAGCAAGCAAGGAAATACTTGGTAAACATAATTTGGAATATNTTTGAATTTCTGTTGGCAAACTTGAAATGAATGGAATAGTTAATTGCCGTCGGTCTGTAAATATTTGCATCAACTTTTGTTCCCAGGCATGCGATATGACGCACTTCTAATTCATACAAATTCCCTTCTTCTGCGAATATTTTGCACAAATTTATTTTAGCTCAGCTGCTCTCAATATTCCAGAGTGAATGGCCAACTAATTATTTACCTTATTTATGGGAGGCAGCAAAGTTCTTTAGTTAATACAAAAAGCAGATGGCGAAAATGTGCCGTTAATTCTGAATTAAATTGTTGCCATTTCGGACTGTTTACGCCAAGCAATGGAACTGGCCGAATTCTGTTAAGCTGAGTGCCTCGGGCAGAGAAAATCAAATCAAAATTTTAGTGGCGCTGGAATTTCTTTTCGCTTTATTTACATGGCAATGAATTCACCTGGACGAGGCACTCGTATTCGAGTGGGATGTGGATATTGGGATGCAAATCTAGGCACTACACGAACGCTGCCGTAAACACATAATCTGATTCCAGAAACGAAATGCACCCACTGTGGTAGTATAAGAGCCCCCTCTTCGCACTGTGCCAAACTGTGAATTGAATTTATTTGCATGGGGGCGGGACTGGGTAGAGGCGAAAGGGTTTTCCTTAACCCAGAAGTGTCAACAGATCCTTTCACCGATAAAAGGACTCACAGGGGACGCAAACGCCTGCTCCTGCACGAGAAAATTAATAAAAAGCGAAAGTAAACACAGGGCTCAAATGCTATGAGTAACTTTTCCGAATCTCACTTCGTTTGGAATTCGTGTGACAGAAAAACCTTAAATTAAAAACCCACCAGGTAAATATTTGCGGAGCTGCGAAGGTCTTCGATATATGGAATGGGCAAATTTAATTTAAGCAGCGATGAAGAAGAAAACAGAAAACCTCTTCAAATCATCATCGGAATCTTTATATATTCCACATGGCAGACATCAATACTAAATATTTTCGCAAATTTTATATGATTTTTCTTTCTGGATAATACAAAATACTTCTGGGAGCCATTATTAAATTCTCAATTTCCAACCTGCGATATCAACATTTCTCTGCCCTGAGACCCCTCAGAGCGAGTTTTATGACCCAGCCTGAAATGTTTTTATTACTCAAACACGAATACAGACGACAATCAGTTTTTCCATTCAAAAATCTTTTGACTTTCTGACATCGAGGGGAACCCAGCATTAAATACGGTATTTGACTTGTCTCCTGTTTTTCTTTGCAGGCACCGCAGGAGACTGGCGAAATGCATTAGGCGAGCAAGCAAGGAAATACTTGGTAAACATAATTTGGAATATTATCACTGTGAAAGAAGGAAAGAGAGAGAGAGAGAGGAAGAGAGTGAGGGTAGGCTATTTAGGCGGAGTAAACATTACACATCAAACATAGCAAAGCGAGTAAATTATACATAATACTATTTGCCATGGGCTGGAGAAGTTTGTCTAACTGTGGAGGAGGAGGAGGGGCAGCATCTCTCCGGCAACAAGTCAAGTGTGGCAAATGACAGGGACTTATGTCTGTTTCCCTTGCAGAATCCATGCCGTCAGCAACAGGGCCAGCAGAGTCCTGCAGAGTCCTGCAGCCCTTGCGGATACTTTGTGGGAGGCCACGCCCATCTACTGTCCGGCAGACATTGTTCCATTTCAGTTTTGTACAAATTGAAGGCATGTCCTGCTGCTGCAGCCAGAGAAAGTCCTTGTCCCAATTATGTGACAAATATGGAAATTTACAGCTGCGGCCTGTATGTGTGCGCCCTTTGTGTGTGTGCTGCAGTGCGTATTCGATAAATGAAAGCAGGAAAGTTCCATTTAAATTGCATTAAATTTACYTCAGCAGCAGGAAGCTGCCAGCGGGCGACAGAATCAGCAGCGCAACAACCGACAGCACGCAGCCACAACCGCTCCCTTCCCCCCTTCCTTACCACAAGAGTGTTGCATATCCGGAAGGCTTGAGCTGGGCAATGCAATTTTGATGTAGCCCAGCTCGGGGCGAGAGCAGGGAATGGCTACCAATCATTGGATTGGTCACTTGGCTGCTGTCGCTGCTAATTGACTTGGGGCGAGATTTCGCCCAGCTCAATGTGTGATCTGCACTGGTCAAAAAGAGATGATGCTTGTTTATTTACACCTAAGTCGGCTTTATATCAGGCGCTTCTCCCCACTCGCATTAATAATTCAAAATACTCCTGGCAGAGCCGAACGACACAGCCTAATCAGAGGACTTAACGGAGTTAATAAAATGCGCCGTTAAAAGCATTTGAAATATGCGAATGTGCTCATCCCCTATGGGGATGCTGTCAAGGGACTTGTTTTTGAGTTGCGCACATTTAGGGGCTCCCACTCCTTCAGTGGGCAGAGAACAAAAGTGGGTGGATAATAAAATTTATGAGTTTTGATTTATGTGCCAGCCGCAGACGAGGATATCTGCATGCGGTGCGTATACGTGATATTTTCAAATCCAATTTGGTATTTTTGCCAACAAGGCGCATGAAGTCAATGGCTGACATGCAAAAAGGGAAACAAAAGGTATTAACATAAAATAGGTTTATTGTGTACGGAGTTTGTGAAAGGAATTTAATAAATTAGCCACAGTTTGCTGTTAATTAAAATGTTTTTATCCTTTCGGAATTTTAATATGCATTTAAATCTAATACGTTTACTCGTATAACCAACCTTTCAGTTGTGTGAATTATATGTTTTTATTTGATCATAGAGTAGTAGCTAGTCGCCTTATTCTTGTATAAAATGTTTCATTCTTGTTAATCAGCAAATTGGCTTGAGTTTTGCTGCTGTTGGCTTGCTTATGTTTTCAAAGGATTGCAGATCTGAGAAGCCAATCGCCTTTATATCGCAGCTGAGTTTGTTTGCATTAACTGGAAATGTTAATTAACTTAAAAGTCTCCATTCTCAAACACATTTTCTCGAATGGCTCGCATTTCTCTTTCCTCCCATCTCTTCGACTCAATTAAATGTTATGGCTTTATTCCAAATTCAAATTGTGTTGTACAAACAGTTAAAGAGGCTGCCTTTGGATCTCGTATTTGTCTTCCAACTGCGCCAACTCAGCTCAAAGCACACAGCCACAGCCGCAGCCTTTTAATCAAACCAAGACCAAGCTGCACGTACCGCACTTTGTTCGGATTGCGGCTAAAAACTTTTAGCCTCAGAGCACACACTGGAAATTTGCTACTCATGTTCCGTCCAACCACGTTCTGACTTCTCTGCACTCCCAGGGCAATTTGGAACTTCTGTTTGGCTTGCAAATAAAACCGCATCCAGTTGTCGCTGCCGCTTTGCTATCTCTCCTACGAGACACACAACAAAGTGCAGAGTCAGCCCAAATTGGCTGACTTGGCATACAGGTTGCCTGCAAACGAAGCGACGCAGCATCAGCTGTTTGTTGTTGCCGACATCTGCAGATGCAGCTTGAACGGCAACGCCAGCCAGCCACAGTGGACTTCGCACTCATTTGCATGCATACACTTGGCATACGTGCTCGTTTGACCCCGTGCAGAGAGGACACTGACCAGCAGACCGTCAGCATGTAAAAGTGTCAATCATGCCACGCCCCGTTTCATATTCCCCTCCCCTTTCCATTCCATTCCACTCAGTC